ACATTGTATTTCACTAATCCAAACGTATATTTTGTAGATATTCATTCAAAGATCTTCTCTACAAAAAAATCACTTAAATCCGATATCATTTGACCACTCAATTAAATTATTGAAATTTTAGTACTTTCTTGAAGCACCGGGTGTTCATTGATTTGTATGACACAATTAGATGTCGAAACGGTTTCCGATCTGTCTAATTTTTTGTAATGATGATCTATTAATGTAGACTTCAAAAATATATGGTTTGGATTGTTGGGAAAAAAAAAATTGTAGTGGGCCCTAAAGGGTGTCCCTTAAATAAAATTATTTGAGGGATCTCTCAATAGAAGGAGACTGTTAGTTAGAAATGGAAAATTTAAGCATACACATCCCTAAAATTCTGTTTTTGCATCCATGAATTCAAAACTTTTTGCATTTTGATCTGGAATGTAGATATGAAACCATATTACCCTAAATCACTAAAAGGATTCATATGGTTTTTTTCTTTCTAATTGGCTACATACCTATCTTATAGGTATGAGTTATTCAATCTATACGGTTGGTATAGAGTTCTTTATCATTTATTCATGTTGAAGTATAACGACCATGGATTGATGGAGTTGGATAAGTCTTTACATGTATTAGAGATACATAGTTTCCAACTTTACCTATTGGTGAAGTAGAGGCCCTATATGTTGGGTCCAAGTTTTCTTTGATAAATTCAAATTTAACAGCCATAGGAAATTAACATTCATATACATACCTCATCTATAGGTAACATATATATATATATATATATACCTCATTCATGTATATGTATATACCTCGTCCATAGATAATTATACTTCCTTCATACCTCCTTCATAGGTATGTATATCATAGGATATTTTTTTTTTTGGTGTTAACCTTATGGAAAGGTATTTATGCATTTGATTGGTTTATTTACCTCATTTGTAGGTCTCTATTCGTGTGAGATTTCTTACACATGTATGAGGCCATTCCATTTTCACCCACCAAAAAAATAACTCTTGTTGGGGTATTTTTTGTTGAGAACTGCAATGGGCTTATTGGATTGCTGAGAGGTAGATTGTGCTATCTTTCACCCCTGTCTGAGTTTGCTGCACCAGGCCCTAAAACATCCTGAAAGAGTTGAAGCCTTAAGAAATGCTTTGGTCTTTTTCAATGGCTTATCAATACATTGGAAGTTTTGATGAGAATGATACAGCTGCCGATGTAAGGACCTTGGTGGATGATAGATTTAAGGAGGCGCTGAATGGGCTTTGCTTGAGACATAATGGAACAGGTGCTGGAAGAGGCGTTCCAGCAATTGTTACTTGTTTAGATAGGTTTTCGACGGCTCTGGAAAGAGTTGGAGATGGTGCATTGATGTTGTACAAGCTTGGCATGAGAGTTTACTTTGGCAAATCAAGATACGAATAGGCTTGGCATGAGAGGCTTATGGACTGGGAGCTAAAAGCCCATAAGTTTAGCAAGAGAAAGAGAGAGAGCTGGAAAGGAAAAGGCTTGGAATTGTAGATAGACTATATCTTCCGGCAACTCTGGAATACTTCCAACAACTTGTATGGATTTCTTGGAATAGAGAGAATTAACTCTGATGCTTGAATCTTAGGATGGTGACTTGTAGAAATGTTTGGGTATTGTTTAGGGTTTTGCATGGTGTTTTAAGACAAAACAAGCAAAAAGAAAGGATTAAGGCTTGAGATTCTGGGTGTTTCCAGCAGCTAGAGGATGGCTTGCGATGTATGCGTTTTCTTACCAATAAGGTGATAACTATGCTTTTAATTTGGCTTGAGAGGATGGGTGTTTCAGATCTGGAATAGGCCTTTTTGAGATAGGGAATGAGAAGATGGAAGAACCAGAGCTTGAATCTGGTGCTTCCAACAATGAGAGAATATGCTTGCTCTTGCTTGCGTTGGTTTTTTAGGATAGAGTAGAAGGAGATGGAAGAAAATGTGCTTGGGCTTGATGTTTCCAGTAGTTAGAGAATAAGCTCGCTTGATTGCTGTGGTTTTAGTTAAGTACCCCCTGCTGGGTAGCCAATGGCCTTTTTTTATAAGCGCTGGAACTCCTCTTTACCCCATAAATCCTAGATGGTTTCTTATCATTTGGCCATGTCTTCTCCTTTCTTTCACTTCACTTTTTCCAATATGGCCTTAATCAATGAAATCTCCCTAAAATCAGCTGAATCCATGGTTATTGAGACAAAACATTTTGGTGCCCTAAAGCCTTCCTGCAGTTGGGTATTGTAAAGGCTTCATTTCTAGGTAATGCTCCAGCTTGACCTTCCTTTCTCTTTTCCTGCATGAGCCCATAAAGGTAAAGATGGGTAAAGATGATGGTGAAACAGAATGGTTGAGGCTTATCTTTTTCATCAGCCTAGATATTTATGTAAATTGGATTTTAAGGGTTTCAATTTGAATTAGGCAAGGCTGGTTCGATCTCAAGCCAAAGGGTGCTGGAATTTCTCTCTTACTTACCCATGTGTTGGGCTTAAGGAATGAGGCTTGGGTTTTGGTGCTCCCAAGCAACCCAAAATCTAAATCTTTGGAACCCTTAATGGGCCTTATGAACCCTCCTACCTATCTATACCACAACCCACTTAGCAAGCCCCATGCATGTATGTGGCTTGGGTCCACTTAAGCTTGTCGGGTGGTTTGGCACTAAAGGGAGTTGTTTAGCATGGCATGTTATTTGCATGCGTATGCTTGGGCTACGTTGTATTGCAGTGGCTAAGGGCTGTTTTAGATAATGCTTGACGAAGCATTGGGCTAGGTGAGCTCGAACATGTGACATTGTTCAACTTGACAGGTTTGCATGTCAAATTGGTAAACCTGTATCATGACCTCCCCACGTGCCAAATTGTAGTCTCGTTTGGCATAACGCGAATGTCAAAGCTTGTTTAGGCACTTTGTAGCCGTATTTGATAGGCCTCCACATCCATTTTATAGCAAGATTAGACCAGACATTCGTGTCGTGTTATCAGTATTCGTGTCGTGTTCGTGTTAACCCGCTTTTTTTAACGTGTTGACACGACATGACACGATAATAAAATGGGTTGGAAATGACCAACACGAACACGACCTGTTACAATTCGCGAATCGCACGACACGATTCACATGATAAGAAATTAAAAAATAAAAACAGAAATATTAAATAATTAAAAATCAACCAGTTCAAAAAAAAAAGTTCAAACAATCACAGGATCTGGAAGAGGATGAAAGTGAGCAAGAGAGAAAGATGGAATAGGGGTATTTGCGCTACCACTCTCTTAATGAGTTTGAACCTTTCTTTGAGAGCTTAGGTTTGAAACCTCCAGAGTATGTTCCTCTTCTTCCTCATAAATTGATGCTCTTGATTGATGACGATTATTATGGTGGAGGAAAATATGGAAGAGAAGAAGAAAGAGAAGAAAGTGAAGAAGAAAGAGAAAAGTTGCTGCATAATTATGGTGGAGGAAAAAACAAAAGAGAAGAAGCAAGAGAAAAGCAAAGAAGATCGGGGGAATGTGGGAGGAAAAGACGAAAAAGAAGAAAGAGAAGGAAAAAGAGAGATAAATTTACAAAAATACCCCCGCTTAACAGGTTGATTCGTGTTTTCGCGAATTCACACGGAAACGACCTGTTAGCTTACTGTGTGGCTAACGGGTTGACACGATGGCAACACGACACGATAACATGGACCTGAATACTGATTTTTTTTTTTTGCGAATTCGTGTCGTGTTATCGTGTCGTGTATGATATTGCCAGGTCTAAGCAGGATAATGAATTAGGCCTAAAAATATGCACGGACCTTGCTTGAGATTTTTTGGGCCTCAACAACTCTCAGGACTACTTAAGGAAGAAGAAAGAGATGAAGCAGAAAGAAGAAGAAAACTCATTTATTTATTTTTGAATAACATAGCCTCTTAGGATGTTTATATGATTTTTTTTTTTTAATAATCAGAACATGTTTAGAGGATTTTTCAAAATTCAAATTGATAAACAAAAATAAATACAAATGTTTTATAAATTCAAATCATATTTATTTAAAAGGTCAAATAGAGTAATTATTAGTCTAAAATTAATTTCTTACCCTTTTATGTGTTGCAATCAAAGTCAATAACAATATTAATTACCTAATTATTATGATATAAATAACTCTTACTTGATTTAAATCATTGGGGGCATAGTTGGAACATAAAAAAAATTATTAAATCATAAAATTTTAAAAAGGAATGTAATCCTATATGGTATAAAAGTCAAAGCACTTAGGCCAAAAACAGAAAATCGGAAGATTAAACCCAACTCTTAAATGGGAATTTGGATTTATAGAAAATTTTCTTAAAAATATATTGTCCGAGCATACGTTTTCTCTAATAAGCACCCCGAACATTTTCTTTTGCACACAAGGATCTTGTTCATGTTTACTTATACTTAAAACAAACTAGATGTCTTAATTTTATTTTATTTTCCACCAGTTAGGAAGGGAGAGTTTCACAACACACAAGTACTATAAGGGCTTGAACCCAAGACCACTTGAGAGCACACTAAAGACTTGATCCAATCCAACTAACATCCCATTGATTCCTAGATGCCTTAGTATAAGTAGCAAATATTTTGGTGAGGGCTAAACATTCATTTATTTCAGTTTTTATTTTTATTCACAATTTTTTATCAAGAGGTTGCATTCATAATTTAGCCATATAGAGCCACTGACCACATACAAACACATGAGGGATACATCAACAACATTTAGACATAAGGTATCCCTCCAACAACATCCGAAAAGGGTCAAAGCACCTCTACCACATAAAGCAAACAATGTTGATAACCCAAGCACATGACGTAATAAAGTAAAATTTAAAACTAAACACTCACAATGAGAGACAACTAACTCACAATGAGTTGCTGCAACTTATTCCGACTCAGAAAGAGCCAAACATAAAGTTAAAACATGAAAACAACTCGTACAACGACTCTATGGAGGAGTGGTTGTACTTTATTCATCACATGGATTCAAATTTAAAACAGAAACTTAGTAGCCCTAGCATTGTTGTTCCCACATCTTTGGATCTTTTTCGTTTTCCTTGAAGATTTCTTGAGGAAACTTTTGAACCAGTGCGTTGAGAGTTTTGAGTGTCTTTTCAGTCCATTGTCGTAATCAACATAGTTGATACCAAACCGAACAGTATATCCATTGTCCCATTCAAAGTTGTCTAGCAATGACCATGCAAAGTATCCCTTCACTTTAACACCCTCTCTGCAAACACACAAAAGAAAAATAAATAAAAAGAATGTATTTGGGTCAATTTAGTGATTAAATAACTGAAATGTAAGAAGGCTCCATACATATATAGCCTTAATTAATTTATTGACAAACACTTACTTAATTGCTGCTTGGAGGTAACAAAGGTGGTGATAGTAGTAGTAAATTCTATTGCTATCATCAAGGAGTTGGTGAAGTGATAATTTGGGATTGGGCTGATTGAATTCATCCACGCCTGCAATATAATGAAGTATCTTATGCATATACTTTCTTTTCCTCTAAAAAAGAAATGTGCATGTAGTTTTGTTTTTTTTTGTTTTTTTGTTTTTTATAAATATAAATGATAGTTTAAACTACAGAGGAATATGGGGTTTTTTACACACACACACTCTACAAAGGTGTCATTGGAGTTTGAGCATGAGACTACTGATCTGCAAGTCAAGACCTTTTGCCACTTGGCTACCTCACGTTGGCAATGTGCATTTAGTTTTAAATTTAGAGTTTACAACACTTAACTATATTTTACACCATTATACATATATGTGAAACATTAATCATGCAATTAATTAATGCTCAAAAGTATTAATTACCATTCTCAGTAATGTATATAATTGGATCATTATACTTTTCTTTTGTGTAGCGTAGAAGATCATAAAGTCCTTTCGGGTAAAAATATAACCAGCTTGAAGCAGCCTGCAGTCCCATTTGAAGATTAATGAGACTTTTAGGAATTATATATGTATGTGGAAAACAATATATATATATATATATTAATTGTCCAAATGCCAATAGCTTAAACAAATAATTTGATGCGTACCCGTGGACCAATGGGGACTCCATTAAGCTCAGCTGCGACAACATATATAAATATGAATATTTCTAGTCATTATAAGAACATAATTAATTACTTGAACTTTTTAATTTGTACTCACTTTTTAAATTAACATTAACATCACTTAAGTAGCTTGGATGTCCAGAATAATTCTTAGAAGCGCTTGCATATCTAGCAGAATAGTAGTTTACTCCAATATAATCATATGACCCACTCAGTGACTTGGATTCTTTTTTTGTGAAATTTGGTAATCGTTCTCCAACACGAGATCGCATGCTTTGCGGATAGTCACCTCTTGTCAATGGGTCCATAAACCTATGAAAATATGAAGATTTTAAGCGTAAACTTATAATATTATATAAAGTGCTATATTAGCTAGCTAGCTGATGTTATAATTCATAAATAAAGTATTAAATGAGTTGATATATAAAATAATAGTATACTTACCATCCATATATAAAATCCAAAGCTCGAAATACAGCATCTATATCTTCCTTTGCCTCTGAAGCGGGCTCAAACCAAGGTGATACCACTGTTATTCCTATCACACCTTTTTGATATGCCTACTCGAGAAAGATAAATATTTTTTGTTGATTTTGAGTCATAAAAAAAAAATATATATATATATATATATATATATAAGTATTCACAATTATGTTGTTACTTAATACTACTGACTCATATCAAATTCTCAATTAGGCCCCAATATTCGAACAATAAAAAACTAATTAAAGGACCTGATATTTTTTCTTGTACAATTTTACAGCAGCTGCATGAGCAAGGAGTAGGTTGTGTGTCACTAAATATGGCTCAGTAGCCGAATCTCCACCAAGGCATGTTCGGTCATACCAAGCAGAGCATCGTCCTGGTGCGTGGACCCCCGTTGCATAACCATGGCTACTAAAGGTATATGGCTCATTAAGTGTGGTCCAATGCTTTACTCGATCACCAAATTTCTTAAAACAAAGTTCTGCGTATTCTTCAAAGTCATTGCTGTGTGTACACATTTCAAAATGTATTTTTTATAATAGTTGTAGTTATATAATTAAATGATCAATATTATATAAAGGAAAGAAGTTGTTCACTTACACAATACGAGCGCTTAAGAAACCACCATATTCGTCTTCTAAGGTTTGGGGAACGTCCCAGTGGAAGAGTGTCACTAATGGCTCTATACCTATATAGCATATGACCAGTAACAGAAAATTAAAAGTTCGATTAAATAAGTGCATTTGTTGTTATTATATTTTAGGACGATATATATGAGATTGACAGTTGTATCACCATTGCGTAGGAGTTCATTGATGAGATTATTGTAGTATTCGATTCCTTTCTTGTTAATTCCACCACTTTGTGTTCCATCTAATAATAATTAAAACAAAACAAGAAAATATAAGCAATTACCTATCGAGAAATAGAAATTAATAAATTGAATAAAACATGTTAAACTATAAAGTGATTGGTCCTAATAAAATATGTGGATGCGAATGATCAACTTACTTGGTAACACTCTGGACCAGGAGATAGAGAATCTATACGATTCCAACCCCATATCCTTCATAATTGCCACATCTTCCTGTAATGACACAAAAGATAAACACAATTATAAGAAAGAAGCCAAAATATAAGGATTTCATCATAAATGTCGTTTATCCTTCAAATTCGAATATAGAAGGTCTACATAGTAAAATGATATGATTTTCAAACCTTATAGCGGTGATATTGATCAATAGCAACATCTCCATTGCTGCCATCAGCGATCTTTTCTGTAATTACCAAATATAATTTTAATTATTTAGAGCATAAAGTTCGGTTTGTTTTGATACAAGCAATAGTTGTAAATTAATTTCCATTGAGCACTTTTATAACACTTAAAACACAAGGGTAAGTCCAGAATAACTAATTTCCATGGAGTATTGGCTTGTTTAGGCATTGAAAAACGTATATTTAATTACTGTAAGGATTTGGAGAAAACAAATATAACAGGGAAAAGAATGACACCAGAGATACTGAGGTAGAAAGCTTAAATTAAAAAAGCAACGAATGAATTAGCTGTATATATAATATCTTTTGAAATGAAGTAGCTGATCATCAAAAGAAAAAGATTTGATTGTTTGATTCAACAGACTTGGATGTTTGTGGGTGAAGGTATCCCATATGCTTGGTCCTCTACCGTCCAAGTTTGCAGCACCTTCTACCTGCAATGTACATACAGATATAAGACGATATATATACAGAATAATATCTGACATTGAAATCAAATTAAACCTAATTAAGTAACCATATGAAACACAATTAATTAAGCCCCCGGAAGGCATGCACTGACTTGGTAAGCTGCTGTAGCAGCCCCAAATACGAAGCCTGGTACAAGAGTATCGAAATTGGTCCTGCTGAGATTTGCACAAACAACGGGTGGATGGATCCTGGCAGCAGCATTGGTATCTGCCAAAGCAAAGCCAAGGAGAAGCAGCAGCACACACAAGAGCAAAGAGCGTAATTGCATTGCCATAACTAGTAAGTGGAGGGTTTTTGGTTGCCTCTTCCTGCTATATTGCATGGGCTTTATATAGAGGGAGTACGTTGAGAATAATTACTATATTAACAACGAACAATAAAAAACTAATTAAAGGACCTGATATTTTTTCTTGTACAATTTTACAGCAGCTGCATGAGCAAGGAGTAGGTTGTGTGTCACTAAATATGGCTCAGTAGCCGAATCTCCACCAAGGCATGTTCGGTCATACCAAGCAGAGCATCGTCCTGGTGCGTGGACCCCCGTTGCATAACCATGGCTACTAAAGGTATATGGCTCATTAAGTGTGGTCCAATGCTTTACTCGATCACCAAATTTCTTAAAACAAAGTTCTGCGTATTCTTCAAAGTCATTGCTGTGTGTACACATTTCAAAATGTATTTTTTATAATAGTTGTAGTTATATAATTAAATGATCAATATTATATAAAGGAAAGAAGTTGTTCACTTACACAATACGAGCGCTTAAGAAACCACCATATTCGTCTTCTAAGGTTTGGGGAACGTCCCAGTGGAAGAGTGTCACTAATGGCTCTATACCTATATAGCATATGACCAGTAACAGAAAATTAAAAGTTCGATTAAATAAGTGCATTTGTTGTTATTATATTTTAGGACGATATATATGAGATTGACAGTTGTATCACCATTGCGTAGGAGTTCATTGATGAGATTATTGTAGTATTCGATTCCTTTCTTGTTAATTCCACCACTTTGTGTTCCATCTAATAATAATTAAAACAAAACAAGAAAATATAAGCAATTACCTATCGAGAAATAGAAATTAATAAATTGAATAAAACATGTTAAACTATAAAGTGATTGGTCCTAATAAAATATGTGGATGCGAATGATCAACTTACTTGGTAACACTCTGGACCAGGAGATAGAGAATCTATACGATTCCAACCCCATATCCTTCATAATTGCCACATCTTCCTGTAATGACACAAAAGATAAACACAATTATAAGAAAGAAGCCAAAATATAAGGATTTCATCATAAATGTCGTTTATCCTTCAAATTCGAATATAGAAGGTCTACATAGTAAAATGATATGATTTTCAAACCTTATAGCGGTGATATTGATCAATAGCAACATCTCCATTGCTGCCATCAGCGATCTTTTCTGTAATTACCAAATATAATTTTAATTATTTAGAGCATAAAGTTCGGTTTGTTTTGATACAAGCAATAGTTGTAAATTAATTTCCATTGAGCACTTTTATAACACTTAAAACACAAGGGTAAGTCCAGAATAACTAATTTCCATGGAGTATTGGCTTGTTTAGGCATTGAAAAACGTATATTTAATTACTGTAAGGATTTGGAGAAAACAAATATAACAGGGAAAAGAATGACACCAGAGATACTGAGGTAGAAAGCTTAAATTAAAAAAGCAACGAATGAATTAGCTGTATATATAATATCTTTTGAAATGAAGTAGCTGATCATCAAAAGAAAAAGATTTGATTGTTTGATTCAACAGACTTGGATGTTTGTGGGTGAAGGTATCCCATATGCTTGGTCCTCTACCGTCCAAGTTTGCAGCACCTTCTACCTGCAATGTACATACAGATATAAGACGATATATATACAGAATAATATCTGACATTGAAATCAAATTAAACCTAATTAAGTAACCATATGAAACACAATTAATTAAGCCCCCGGAAGGCATGCACTGACTTGGTAAGCTGCTGTAGCAGCCCCAAATACGAAGCCTGGTACAAGAGTATCGAAATTGGTCCTGCTGAGATTTGCACAAACAACGGGTGGATGGATCCTGGCAGCAGCATTGGTATCTGCCAAAGCAAAGCCAAGGAGAAGCAGCAGCACACACAAGAGCAAAGAGCGTAATTGCATTGCCATAACTAGTAAGTGGAGGGTTTTTGGTTGCCTCTTCCTGCTATATTGCATGGGCTTTATATAGAGGGAGTACGTTGAGAATAATTACTATATTAACAACGATTTTTTCTTTTTTCTTTTGGGTAAAGGCAAGCGGGCTTTAAAGCTAAAGTATTGGGACAGAGAAAGATAAAAGTTGGGCCAACGTGTTTGCATGCATGTAGAGAAAAATATTGGTGGGTTTTTTTTTTGCTGGAAAAAATGTTGGTGGGTTGTTTGGGAAATATATCCAGGAATACGATTCTTCTAGGAAAAGTAAATAAAAAAGGAACAGGGCAGCACTCTATTCCATATGATATGAGACTTTTTTTTTCTTCAACCAAAGTCAATTTGGTATAGCCCAGTGAAAAAGGGGATTTTAATTTGTAGACTAATGGTCTTAAGTTCAAAATCATGTGACACATTGATAGTGTGTGTGTGAAAAGCTTCCAGTATCGCATGTATTAAAGGAAAAAAAAAAAAACCAATACCATTTAAGACCACCTTTAACTACTTTTTATTTTCTGGTGGTGTAGCTACTTTCTATTCCACTGTAAGGATTATAAGAAGGATGTTGGTAATTGTATTGTCCATTATTTGTTACCATGGTTGTGTGATTCCACTCCCATCTTTGTCCTACTTAATCAGGCTGGAAATTATAAGTGACTTTCGTTGATCTTGTCTTATCAATTTTCCATGAAAAGAAAAAAAAAACTTTGTTCGTAAGCAATAAGCTGGAGGAGCAATGCAACGGAGAAGATGAAAGATCTATTTTAAGTGATAATGGATGTATGAAATAATTTTCTCATAAATATGGCATTAATTAATTGAAAATAACTAATAAATTTTTTTAATACTACAAGGAGGGGGTTTCTCACATACTATTAAGGTGACATGGAGGTTCGAACTTGAGACTCCTCTGGTTTACAAGGCAATGACCTTTTCTACTAGGTTAAACCTCGTTGGCAATAGATGACAAACTTTAAAAGCGCTGGTGAGGCTACACTTGGCTTCAGCCGGCCACAGCGAGTGACACCCGCACCCCCGCCTACGCCCCCACCAATCCACCACCCCAAGCCCCAATAAAGAGAGAAGGTGATTCCGCTCTGTGATGCCAGCTTTGGTGAGGAATATTAACTTTTATTGCATATCTGTGTGTGTAGGGGGGGCTAAAGGGAAAAAGAGAGTAGATTCATGTGCAAGCATGACATACTTTTAATCAGGGCTCTCTTGCATAGCATGTATTCTCAACACGTCCTCTTCCTACGACCAAAACAAAGACACGTCCTACCCTAGGGTTTACTTTTAATTGAACTAAGATTTAAAAATAGAAATAAAAGAAAGTAGCTAAACCCCGCCAGCCTCTCACGAATAGGGTACCCCCAACTCATCATCAGACGACCAAAACAAAGCGGAGCTCAACCTGAACATATATATATATATATATATATATATATATTTCACTACTCTAGATTTGTCATTTCGGCTAACCCAATGGGCTTGGATCAGGTTGGTTTACAAGTCCAAGTCACACTGACTCCGTTGCATTTTTTACTAAAAATATTTGTCATGTGATTTTGTACATTCAATAAATTTTCAATTTAATTTTCCTTTCATAATAAGCGTATGTGCTGAGTTCGATTTGATATTTGGTGAAGACAAGCAAGCAACATGCTATTTGAAATTGTTAGGGCATGCAATGTGAATTGTTTGTTTTTATGCATGCAAACAAGAGCAGAAGCCTATTGATGAATTGAAATAATGGAGAGACTACCATTCCCGAGGAAATTAGGCAGGAGCTGTATGTCAATAGTGTCCAGAGTTTCCCACATATTTGATTAGACAGCAGAATTGTCTCCACTTGATATGTTCTGGCATCAAGAAGAAGCAAACTTCGCCAGATTTGTTGTTGCTGCTGTATATGTTTGAATGAAATAGCATTCTCTCCATTAACACAACCTCAAACACTCTCTCTCAACCTATTTTAAGTGTGTTTCTAAAATGGGTAAAGATGGTCGTGATGACTAAAAATGTTTTTGATAGCGTTTGGCAAAAAATTTATACAGACTTCTGGATTACAAACCCATTTTCAAATAGAAACACTTTCAAAAAACACACTTATTATGAGCATAACTATGCAACAAAACACCCCTAAACGGCCTTCTGTTTGTGGCAGTGCTAGTCGTTTGAATAAGTTGAGTTCAAACTATGATATACTATTACTATACAGTTAATGAGTCTACTTGTATTTGGTTTTTTTGCTTGTCAACTCTGTATACAAACGTACTTACAGGTATTGGACATGAATCGAATTCATGGGGTGGGGGGTCCATGGGAAAGATCTCTAGGTCCAAGAAAATCAGTGTTGAGTTGATTGAGATGAAGTATCCATATATAACCTGACACTCCTCCCAACACTATGCCTGTTCTCCGCAATTCCATTATTTTCAATTATTTGGTTGACAAGATGCTACCCCATCTATATATGTCCTGTTATTCTACCTTTGGTTGTTGCTAAGAGTTTGCAGTCTTCCCTTTTGTTTTCTTTATTAAACACCCTGGACTCGTTTGGATTTGATTTGGTGAAGGACTTGAGGTTTAAAAGTTAATCATTACTGATCCAACTTCTCTATCTAATTTGTATTATATTTTCTATCTTATCACTCTATTAATCCTTGTTCTCTAATGTAGATAGAAGGTGTGTGCTCATATATATATCGTCACATAGAATATTTTAGTTCTTGCAAAAGAAGTCATCAGTAAGTATAATACAAATAATTTTATGGAAAGTAAAAAGTATGCTCCATGCATGTCCTCACACGTACGGAGCGTGTAAAGAGCTTATTTTGGAGTTCATGTGATTGCATATGTAAGATCATGAAATATGAAGTTGTTGAATCTTAATTAAAACATATGCGCATTGTTGTTGAAATGTTATTTTATGTGTGAATGCGTGTTCTTCTTAACTTCTTTATTTTTAAGAGTGCTGCTAAATGAACCCTAAAATTAACTGAGTACACCATAATATCCTTTTTAGTCATTTTATATTAGGGTAAATTAGTAATTCAATAAATACTTTGGTAGTATTTTAGGGTTCGTTTAGAAGAGCACTCTTTTTTAATCATATATAATTAATTAATAATCACACAAATACTAATCTCTATCATCTCACTAATCTACAAAACACGCAGACAAGACATATACAGTTGTGCACATATTCCCCCAATTGTTAATTATACGCATGATTTCTTAAAATTGCCACAAAAAGAATCTTTGATCTTGTTCCTCTTCTTGTTTTTTTGTCCAAATAGTAAACAAAGCTTTCTTGAAAAGTAAAGAAAACCATATAGGCAGTGTCAAGATTCTCCTACATGATCCTATATGATTTGGCCTACTCGTTTATGGCTATCTCTCTAACTTGTTTTTCTTTTTTCCTTTTTGGGTTCTGATCATCCTCCACCTACAACCTACTGCACATGTTAGAAATTGTTGCAAAATGAAGCACGAACCTCTCTTAATAAAATGATGCAAACCCCACTTAAAGACAAATGGTCTGGTATTAATCTTACCTAAACCAACCAACTTTAAGATTTAAGTATTTATAGTATAAAATATATGAAAGCATTTCCTTCTTTTCTTGTAGTTGTTGGAAAACTGTCCTTGGATCCTCTTTGTTTGTCTCGCCATTTCTGTCTATGAATAAAAAGGAATAAAGTAAACCCACACTGATCAACATAAATTAACCTGCTTCTTTTACCACTAGCAAACTTTGGGTTCCACAATGCTTTTGCTTAGTAATTTTGTACACGGATTTCAGAGCGGAAAAAATACATATCATTTCATGCATGATATCGATCCTTCCAAATTTCAATGCAAAGCATGCAATTTTTCTTGGCTTCATTTTGGTAGAGCTTTGAGTGAGCCCCATAATCGATGTTACAAGCCAATGAAAGTTTTGTCATTACCCCAAAAAAGAAAAAAGAAAAAAAAAGGACCAAGTCTTGCTATCTTACGTTAATCTTAATTTGATCTGTTTAATTAATACTTAATCCGAATGCTAGTAAAATCAAGAAAATTCATCAATTTACAGGTACTCATACAATACCATATTAAGAAATAGAAAAATCTAGAGAAAGAAAAAACAGAGTACGAGTCACCCTAATTGACTACACATAACAATTCCAACACTCTCCTTCGGCAACAATGTTCCATTTTTTTCTCTCATTCATGCATATTTTAGGGGGAGGCACACCGTTAGAAGATACCAACTTCTAAATTTTAGGAATTGAATTATTTTATTTATTTGGGCTGAGTTTGATGTGATTTTTAAAATCATTTTCACTATCCGTGCTGCATACTCAACAAATCATGTCATTTGTTTTTTTTTACGAAGCGATATTCTAAACTACTCTAATATACGGAAAAATGGATTGAAACCACATTTGCACACAGACTGGTCTAAACCACACTTGCAACAAACTATATCTCTAAGTTATAAAATTAATGAATCAGTGATCACTAACTTTAATTAATTAATTAGTTGATTAATTAAGAGTTCCCTCATTGTTTCTAGTGAACAAATCCCCGACATGCAGGGACTTACTGTTAGCAGGACCACCAAGTCGCCAATTACCATTTGCCAATGAAAAACATTCAACATGTATTTTTTTAAATAAAACCAAAACACATTTTGTTTTTACACAACAATTCAACAAATTAACTAATATACTAGAACAAAATTTGAAAGAAAAATTATAAACATTCATCTCGAGACCTCAACACATCCCACGCTTCCTAGGTTTTCTGATCATCAGAATACACATTTTTCCTTTGTCCTCATACATGAAACATGACACATACCTTGAAAACCCATAAAGAGAAGGAGCAAAGACAAACGCCCTTTTCTTTCTTTGTCGTTTTTTCTTCGTTTTTCGACAACCGTTACATGACTATTAACCATCCGCAAAAGACAAGGACCACCACCGCTAATGCGTTTGGGGGTTTTCTCGACGGTGATCGGCGGCTGAAGCTGGCGCTGACGAGTTAGCAGACAGCAGGCAGATGACAAGGTCAGTGAAGGCGCTGATAATGTCCTTGTGGGCTTGTTTGGGATTGAGTGAGAGGTAGCACAAAAGCAGCTCATGTAGATACTCCACGTCATCACTTGTGCTATGATGATGATGATGATCATGGCCCACCAACATATGATGATCTCTATTAGCTTCAAGCATTTCCTCCATGGAGCGCCTGAAGTCCAAGTAAGGGTTTGAGGAGAACTTGCGAACGCGCACGCCTTTGGTGACCAACGTTGTTTTGTGATGAGGCTTGTTGGGTTTGGTGGTGGTTGTGTGCGGAGACTCGGTGATGGAGTTGGAGCGGCCCGGAGAGGAGAAGAAGAAGCGTTGGGAGGCGAAGATGGTGGCGAAATCAGGAGGGGAGAGGTCGGAGTCTGAATCAGAGGAGGAAGTGTGGACTTCGTCGGCGGAGGAGGAGGAGGAGGAGGGTGTGAGGGACTTGGAGGAGGAGGAGTTGATAAAGTTGAAGTCATAGAGGGTGTTGAAGTTTTTGATGAGGAGAGATGTACATGTGGTGGTGGTGGAGGGAGGGGGTGGTGGGTTTTGGTTAGAGGGTTGATCAGGTGGAGCTTGGATTGTGGGTAGGCATTTGATGAAATTGGGGAAGCATAAATTCTTCCACATGATTTTGGACATCTTTTGAGAGAGAGAGAAGGGTGAGTTGTTTATTGTTGTGGGTTGTGGGAATTATGAGCTGAAACCTGAATGAGAGTTAAAGATCAAATAAACGGTAGAAGTTGGCTTTTATTTGGGGAGAGAGAGGGAGAGAGAGAGAGAGAACACTCCAAAAGTCCAAAGGACAGGAAAGGGAGGGTGAGAATCGTGAGATTGCTTGTGTTTTGTCTCTTAATTTGTTTTCTTTTGTTTATACCAATAATATATTTTTTGGATAAGTAAAACTTCTCTCATTCTCGTTGAGTACAAGTTAAAACAAAATGTAGAATAATTCGTATTAGATACATTGCTAATATATTGTAATTATATGGTACACATTAATGTGATTAGTAAATATAATACAAATAACTGTTTATTTCAACGAAGATTACATTTACAAAAAAAAGTCAAATCATTGCAAATTTTCTCATGCACTTGCAAACTTTAGGGAAGTCCAGAATCTACTTCCAGAAAATGAAATGCGGGTTGCACATCACTCAATTAAGTTGGTATAAAGATTGACTTTCAACCAGTTCATCTTTAATTATTAATTCTTTTACAAATACAGGGTACATGCCTTTATTTTTATCAATTTCCTTTATATATAGATGTTAAAAGTTTGTATTAAAAGTCAAAGTGAAGCAAAGGATTCACACATATCCTTCTACTGCTAAAGTGGGATACGCTTAGATTTCATATGATCTTTTTTGGCATATTAGGTATGAGTTCAAATAGTACAAATTGTAAGAAATACTATTTAGGAGATTATTCGCTATTACTATGTGCTTTGTCTCGGATGGTTTGGTGTATGTGGGTTGGAGATAGACCTATTAATTCAGATTGAATGCAAAGCAAAAGAGAGATTCAATTTCAAAGTTAACTCCGAAGCTTTCACAACCACTCAAAAGAACATTAATTGTATAAAATAGATGTCAAGTAAATATACGGAAACCATGAATTAAAATAGTGCATCTTTCTTCTTCTGAAATGTTAAGCAAATAATAATGATAATAGTAATAAAACAATGCGTGACATACGTTCATAACTACTAATTAAAGAAATTGGAATGCAAAAATCAAAGATTTCTAGAAGCATTAGTTTGCCCTATCGCATTGATCAATTTCAAATTTGATTGCTTGCAAGAAAACTAAATATTCTTGGTAGGAAAGAGGAAGAATTAAGACTGTCCTTTTTATCCTTTAAAAAGTTCCAGACCCAACATGGTCTTAACCCTCTTGAAGATGGAAAACTTTTTTTCCTTGCTTTTGGCGTACTTGCTACGCCCACTTTGAAAAAGTCATCACTTCAGGGTCTACCATTGTTTGAGTAACTGCAACCAAAACAATGGCGCTCCTCAATCCCTGGCCACCCCACCAGTCCTTCTTTGCTGATTTATGGTCATTATAGTGCACGAATATTCAATGTTTTATATGGTACAAAAGCTCAAAGCATACACCTCAGCTTCAAATGGACCTAGAGCTACTTGTGGTTTTGCTACTTTTAGTTGCAACATCGATCGTACGCATTCAATCATTCCACTTTACAATCAACAGTAGAACTGGACTAACCAAGCTACATCAGGCCATCATGGCATAACAAATAGATCATCAAATTGATGTCTTCTTTGCTTATGTAACGTGTTGTTGATTTAGTCAACGTACATTCCGATAAGAATTTATTTTCTCAATACAGATTTGATCCTTGTACTAAGTAGCAGATAAAAAATGATCATTAGCGGAATCCATAATTTTTTCATTCCAAGAAATATGATTTATACCCAAATGTTTGAGTTTTCCCTTAAATTAAGGGACAAGGTGTTTGATAACATACCTCTTAAAGTTTTGTTGATAGGAATTTCTCGATCATGCCCCTATATTACTACAAATTATAGGCTCCACCAGTTTCATACAAAGACAATCATCAAGCTACATAAAACACCAACGATTATAAACCTCCACTCCACATCATGGAATAAAACCAAATTCCCTGCAAATGATTTGATTGATTTATTGAGGAAAAAAACAAGGATGTTATCAATATTGCCAGTGAGGCTGCATGGCAATGTTTGGGAACAAAAACTGCAATCTTTCGGTCATCAGTGCTGCAGTGCATGTTGTGCTTCAGCTAGCTACCTAACGTCACCTGTGTTTTGTATGGCTTATATCACACGAATGCTTTTCTGCTTTTCCTATTCCAGGAAACCAACATCTTCCAAACTCACTTTTACATTTTGGATTCTTCGTTACTCATGGAAATATAACCGCGCCATAGGTCCCCCCATTCACCTATATAATTGTCCTTCTTGCTCAGTTGCTTATTAATAAGGTAATAAGTGACCAACTATGTTTAAGTAATTAACTAGGCCCTCCCTCCTTTGGATTTATATATTTTCAGAATTAGATAGGCGGTACTATTTGATGTCTTAAACCCATACCAAATTATGCTTCCATTACAACATCTGCCATTATGAGGGTCATTTCAATTTTATTTCAATAAATTGAACTTTTGACTTACAGTGGTAAAGTTCAATTTAGTTCATTTCAGAGATTAATATTTCATTTTAAGGATCAATAGTTCATTTTAGAGGTCAATAAAATGAACTCTGAAATGAAATTCATTTCAATAAGTTGACCCATCATAACAATCTACAGCCTCTCTCTTATAATAACTCAGATGTGTTCTCATTTAATATCAACTTTCAATTCTTCAGAAAAAAGTGTTAATATAATGTTATCACAAACCAAAGAAAATGTTGTTATTATATATTCAAAATCGGTCTTTTTTTTAAAGATCTCTTTGAAACCATTTTAATTATATAATTCTTATCATAATTAATTTTATTCATTTTATTTTACTCAATTATTTAAAAAGATATTTTAAAAAGTATAGTTTTTAATTTGTAAACTATTGAACTCCAGTGAAACTGCAGTTGAGTTCAATAGCTACCAACAGCGGCGGACCCAGGAATTTTTAAGCGGAAGTGCAATTTTTAAAAGCTAAAAGCTAAAAAAAATAAAAAATAGGCAACTAAATATCTTTATACTTTAAATAATACTAATGTTTAAATTCCATGAGCAAGATACAAAAAGTTAACAAGAAAATCTACTGCTGCTGTGGCTGGGATGACTTCCCTTTTCCCTTTTATTGTTTTTTCTATTTTTATTTATTTAAAGGAAGCCATGACAACAATTGGAACAAAATTAATGCAATCCTCAAGGTCTTCATTTTGTTGGAGGAGTTTTCGAGGCAAGACCTGTTTGTTTTTTTTTGTTCTAGAAAAATTCTCTTCGTTCAAACTAAACATAAAATCATATCCTATCCATCTATGTAGAACCCCGCCTCTTCCCAAACCCTCGAAAAAAAAAGGAAGAAAAAAAGAAGATAAGAAAAACTTTTTGGTAGATTGAAGTCAAAGCCACTTCCCTGAAATCAATTCGATGAATCATCTCTTTTCGAAGAAGTGGTTCACCAGAAGCTCCTTGCAGCCTTGTGGAGGACAAATCACAACAGCACTTCACTTGCGTATTTCATCGAACAGCTTCCGTGCATGAGCAGAGGTGCAACTTCAGCAGCTTCTATGGAGTTTTCCGGCGACCGGAGGTGCAGGTGCACCTCCTTGCGCCTGCACAGGTCCGCCACTAGCTACCAATTAAACTCCAGTGAAATGAAACTGAGTTCAATAGCTACCAAAAAAATTCAATAGTAATTGAATTGAACTGAAATGAACTATTGAAACCAAGGTGGTTGGTGTGAGTGGTTCGACACTCTCATTCCTTAAGAAAGATCAGGGGTTCGATTCCTGCTTTTGTATGGAGTCACCACTTTGGCCAGTACTTTACCCCTTACGGGCCGACCCGGTGTGAGCGGGGATTAGTCTGGATTGTGGTTAAAACTTAAAGGTGCCACCCATAGTTGGGGCCCATCCAAGATCACCTCGTGGTTCAGACAAAAAAAAATGAACTATTGAACTATTGAGCTGCAACAATAAATTGAACTATTTAAAAGCCCATTCAAGCCGTTGATTGTTTACAAAACACAAAGGAAGCTAGACTGTGGCATGTACTACTAATAAGAATATTTTAAAGTTTAAACCCAGTACTTAATTTACATAGATATATACTTCCACCACGGGCACTGCTACTTAGTCAAAGGGGACACAGCAGGAAATCACATCTTTATATTCTCATTGAGCCTTGCAGCTGCAGTCACTGAAGCCGCCACTCCCCCAGGACGCGTTCCTATTTCCAGGTTGTTTCGGAGCTCAGCACTCGCAATTCCTTCAGCATCCTGCCTCGTCGCCGCCTTGTCCGCGGGCAGTTTCGCAGTAGCACCCTTCACCGAGGCAAAACCACACACAACTTATATCAAACACTTACCCCACAAATACCCACGTAACTAGTAGTCATAAACCGTATGATGAAATGCCATGACTTACCGAGAGGACATCTGTGAGCTTGATCTTGTCCTGCTCCCTCAGAGTCCCGGCATTGTATGCTGCCGCAGATTGAGCCATGGCAGCCAGCCCACCTGGGCTTATCACATTGCTGCCCGTGGCTCTCACCTCCGCAGCCTGAATAGCTGCGGCATCACTTTGATCAATCGGCTTATCACCGGCTGTTTGGGCGGACGCTTCTAGTGCTTCCCCGATAGTGATTGCGTTCTGCTCCATAAATCCCCCCGCAGCTACCTGCGCCACCGGCGTGGGCTGCACATACTGCCCAATCACCTAACCACACCCAAAAACAAAAGGGTTACCCTTTATCCATTCAATACACATTGAAATCTTGATGTTTGACGTAACATGTTACATCTTGAAATTAGTATCTACAACATGTTAGTTAAATAGTATTGACAATTATAAAATTTAAAAAAAAAAATTTAGCTGATGAATGGTTCAAATTCACAATTCACAGTATGATGACATAACATGTATAACATATTAAGCAGTGTATAACATAATATATAACGTGTGGAAGTAAGTATGAACAACATAATATTTAATGTGTTCAAATAGTATGAACAACATAATAAAAAATTATTGATTTTCGGATTGATCAAACTTTAGCTAGAGATGAGAGGGAAACCTGTCCACCAACTGTTTCAGTGACGATGCGGCTTCCAGGGACATCAGTCTCTGTGACAGTGACACCTTCATTTCCACCAACATCCGTGGCCTGGTCATGGCGAACAAGGCCGGATCTTTCATTTCGGTTCCTGCTTTTGTATGGAGTCACCACTTTGGCCAGTACTTTACCCCTTACGGGCCGACCCGGTGTGAGCGGGGATTAGTCTGGATTGTGGTTAAAACTTAAAGGTGCCACCCATAATTGGGGCCCATCCAAGATCACCTCGTGGTTCAGACAAAAAAAAATGAACTATTGAACTATTGAGCTGCAACAATAAATTGAACTATTTAAAAGCCCATTCAAGCCGTTGATTGTTTACAAAACACAAAGGAAGCTAGACTGTGGCATGTACTACTAATAAGAATATTTTAAAGTTTAAACCCAGTACTTAATTTACATAGATATATACTTCCACCACGGGCACTGCTACTTAGTCAAAGGGGACACAGCAGGAAATCACATCTTTATATTCTCATTGAGCCTTGCAGCTGCAGTCACTGAAGCCGCCACTCCCCCAGGACGCGTTCCTATTTCCAGGTTGTTTCGGAGCTCAGCACTCGCAATTCCTTCAGCATCCTGCCTCGTCGCCGCCTTGTCCGCGGGCAGTTTCGCAGTAGCACCCTTCACCGAGGCAAAACCACACACAACTTATATCAAACACTTACCCCACAAATACCCACGTAACTAGTAGTCATAAACCGTATGATGAAATGCCATGACTTACCGAGAGGACATCTGTGAGCTTGATCTTGTCCTGCTCCCTCAGAGTCCCGGCATTGTATGCTGCCGCAGATTGAGCCATGGCAGCCAGCCCACCTGGGCTTATCACATTGCTGCCCGTGGCTCTCACCTCCGCAGCCTGAATAGCTGCGGCATCACTTTGATCAATCGGCTTATCACCGGCTGTTTGGGCGGACGCTTCTAGTGCTTCCCCGATAGTGATTGCGTTCTGCTCCATAAATCCCCCCGCAGCTACCTGCGCCACCGGCGTGGGCTGCACATACTGCCCAATCACCTAACCACACCCAAAAACAAAAGGGTTACCCTTTATCCATTCAATACACATTGAAATCTTGATGTTACACGTAAAAGGTTCACTCAATGGTCAATAGTCCAGCTTGAGCCTAGCAACATATAGTATGTCATGTTTGAATATTGTCAAGCTACTGATCTGATGTCATAAAAGAATCTGACCTATATATATACAAAATATCAATAGTCCAAATTTGACGTAACATGTTACATCTTGAAATTAGTATCTACAACATGTTAGTTAAATAGTATTGACAATTATAAAATTTTAAAAAAAAATTTAGCTGATGAATGGTTCAAATTCACAATTCACAGTATGATGACATAACAACATAACATGTATAACATATTAAGCAATGTATAACATAATATATAACGTGTGGAAGTAAGTATGAACAACATAATATTTAATGTGTTCAAATAGTATGAACAACATAATAAAAAATTATTGATTTTCGGATTGATCAAACTTTAGCTAGAGATGAGAGGGAAACCTGTCCACCAACTGTTTCAGTGACGATGCGGCTTCCAGGGACATCAGTCTCTGTGACAGTGACACCTTCATTTCCACCAACATCCGTGGCCTGGTCATGGCGAACAAGGCCGGATCTTTCATTTCGGGTGGCGGCCGACTGCATGACAGCGGCCGGACCGCCCTTCTGAGTCTGTCCAAACACCATGGTCTCAGCGGTCTGCATCATGTTAGCATCTTGTGGTGCAATGGGCTTCTTTGCGAGGTCCCCAGAGACGGAAAAGACGTCGCCGTATTTGATGGGCTGCGGCTTGTCCTGCTGTTTGTCTTCCTGAGGCCTCCGCGGCTGTTCCTGGCTCATTTTGTTGTATCAGTTTGAGATCACAATTACAAGCTTTTGCAAAGGCTTTTGGTGCTTGAGAGATCGACTAGCTAAGCTTAGATTTGATGTACACTCTCTACGGACGTACTTAAAGTTAGGGAAGATTGGAAGAGTTAATATAAATCCCGATATAGATGTTGAGCGTAATTGACACGTGGTTTTGTTGACACACGTGTCAAGAGAAAAGCCAGGACAGTTTTGTTTGTAGCAGTACATGTGGCAGCAGGTGGCTCTGTGTTTGCAATTCTGGTTAGAACACTCCGCAGACCGACTGGAAGCTCCGAGACACTTGTCATGTATGCGTTCAGCTTATCAGATTAGGGTGCATTTTGAAATATATTTATTTCCTTTCGAAACCTTCAAGGACTTTGACATATATATGCGGTATCTAATTAATATTCTAATTGCATAACTATTAAACAAGAAACATCCGAGTCTAATTAAGGATAAGGCTTATATGACAATTTGATATATACATTTTGGAAATATTTTTGCTCACTATTTTAATTTAAGGTGTATTTTTATCATCATTTTCAACACTTAACATGTGTCTATTGGTATAATCTTAGTTACTCTTTACATTGTATTTATGAAATCATAGTTATCAATAGATACGTGTTAAGTGTTGAGAATGGTGGTAATGATACACCTTGAGTTAAAGTGGTGAGAAAAAATTCTCTCATAAGTTTTACATTCCACTCAATATGTCAAATTAAAATGTGATTTTATTACATTAGTGTTAATTTGTTTATTACCTTCTAGGCCATTAATTGAAAAAATAATCAAATAATATCACAAAGTTAAATATCCAAAAATAATTAAGAGGAGAAGTGAGAAATTACTACTACAAAAATTGAAATAGACGACGGGGAAAAATCGTAGGAAACCCTAAAAGAGTGTCTCTCAAATACAATTATTTGAAGTATCCCTTAATAGAAGGACTATATATAAGATGTTAAGCTTTTTATTGATTGAGATAAAGATGCACACAAGTATACACCTCAGCAATCGCTGTCGTGTTATTCAAGGCTTACCAAGCCAAACCAGACATTGATAGCATCTTGCATGTTGCTGTATTCATGAAAAGTTAATAAAACACATCCTGTTTTTTGCTGGAAATAAAACACAGTTGTTGGTTTACAATTGCTACTTGTCCGCCTTCATTTTTGAAAACGTTGAAGTCTTGTCTTTGGCGGTCAAACCAAAGGAAATTTAAACCCTATTGCGATAGATAGATGAAGGGTTGGCTGAGTTGGGTATGACGTCACAAGAAGCGTGTGTGAGAAACTCCCTTCCTTTTGTAATTTAGAGTATCACTTGTATTCAAATAATTAATTAAAGGCAAAGCAAACATTGCTTGTGATGCAAGAATTGCAGATCGCGCCCAAGAAGCGAACAAAGAGCACAAGCCACAAACAAAACAAATGTCACTTGGTAATAAACTCTGCATTCGACATCTACCATATCAAAATATCCAACAACCATAGAATGCAAATCCATACAAGGACACTCGAGGTGTACAACTGCATACAACATATTTAACATCATAACTACAAGAACCCTTTAGGTACAACTGGATATAGATGAAAATGGCCATTGCAACTTATTGTCTGTACTGTAAGATTTACAGATCGTCTGGTTCATGTAAATCTACTTGACCATTTTGAGCAGCCTTCTGTGTCAGCGTCGAGTTCATTGACCTGCAACCTCCAATCCATTGCCTGCACAATGAAGTATGATTCAAAAACTGAGAGGAGAGCAATGACAAAGATTCTTCTCTTCCTAGTAGTAAGATACTGGGAAAACTGATTGAAAAGCAAGTGTATATATAATCTGTATGCATAAAAAGGTTAGAGGATTGTAGATTCTTTTCTGCAACAGAATCATCTTTCAACTTCAAAATGAGGTATGCAATTTGATACACTACAAAAAAAAGTAGTCATTTGCGACCAATTTTTTCCGAGGGACTCCAAATATCCTCGGAACAAACACTATTTCCGACAACAAAGTACCATTCGTCGGAAATACGTCAATGAGGTGTTCACCATTTCCGATACCTGAATTGCCCTCGGAAAAGAGTTCTTTTGCCGTCGGAAATAACTGTTTTTTAGTGGGAAAAATTTGCGCCACATTTATTTACGACCAAAGGCATCCCCGTCGGTAATAGTTGTGCTTTCTTCCGACGGAATGTTCACATTGTTGGAAACCATAACCATTTTCGAGGGAGCTTCGTCGGGAATTAGAGGTCGTCGGAACTGATTATTTATTTCCAAGGGCAATCAGTAGCATGCTTATCCAAATATGAATTTTAGTTTATTAATATGCTCTCCCCTAAGTTTTAATCTTGAAACCAACAAAATATAATAATTGGGACTAAAACAGCTTACCATCGAGATCAAAGAAAAATACTTGCTTGACCTTACCATCAGGTAAGGACGTCTCAAATGTCTGAATTCCCTTGTCCTGCACAACCAAATTTGGGAACGTCAAAGAGACGAAGAAAATATAAATTAAGTATAAAAAATTAAAATTAAAACATGCCAAAGCTTTGAACCAGGGTTTGCTCAGAGGAATGCGAAAAACCCTAACCCTTATATCAAATAGAACAATCATCTATGATTGCGCATTTCTAGACTATAAAATTCCATAACCAACACCCAATTGAAATTTCAACAATTAAACTGGGCAAAATTCAACTCCTAGTCTAGAAATGCGACCTGCAACCTACAAAAACCAGCTGTCATTTTTTGAGTTTGTTTATAGAAATTAAATAGAGTAGGGTTTATCCATATTATTAGTGCTAAGAATGGATATATGACTAAATATCTCAACAACAAAAAATCTTCAATTCATAAGAACCCCAAAATGATAGTTAAAAATGGATGCAAAGCAGCAACCTTGAGGGTTTGGACAAAGGAGTGGAAATTTGAGACGGAGAAGCAGACATGGTGGCCTCTGCGGAGATGGCTTGGGTCAGCAACAGGTGATGTGGCGCTCCAGGGTCCTTCTGGAAGGTTGTAATCTGGGTTCCTCTCGATGAGGTGGAAGGCAAAAGCTCCAGGGCACTTGAGCCATATCGCCTTGCATTTGAAGTTTGGGCTCTCTATCTCCTCAAACCCAAATATCTACCAACACCACCACCGTAAATTGAATTTTTAATTTTAATTAAATTAATTACCAATTAGCTTGTCAAAATTAAAGTGATAATAGAAAATGAAAAGGAAAAATTGGAAGCTTGAAGAGACAACCTCTTTGTAGAAATTGGCGAGGCGCCTGATATCGGAGGATTCCCTGGAAATATGGTTGAGACTCACTCCTTCTGCTACTGCTGCCGCCATTTCTTCTAATCACCTATTTGGTAATCTGTTTGGGGCTGTGCTTCTATTCTATTTATAGTTTTAGACTACTCTTTTTTACTTCTTTTTATAGATGAAAACGACGTCGTGGGACGTCATTGCTTAGCAGACACAATGGGCAAGGCTACCTTTTTCATTCAACCACCGCATTATTCCATATTGTAAAGGGTCATGTTAGGGAGACCAACTTGGGATACCAACTTGTGTACCAACTCTCTAATAGAGGTGGAGCCCACTAATACAATGGGTCCCACGCTCTATTAGAGAGTTGGTATCCCAAGTTGGTCTCCCTAGCATTTTCCTATTGTAAAACCTAGATGCTACTAAAAATTTTTTCCTTGCTTTTGGCGTACCTTGCACATAATGGGATCAAATGGAATGGAACAATAAATAAAAGCAAACATTCAAAGTTACAAGAGCCAATGAAAAAGATAACAAAGAAAGACAAGTTAAAGTAAAAGCCAATAAAATTCTCCCAATCTTTTAATAGTCAATTTGATGTACACATTCCTCCCAACAAATCTTGTTCTTTCTCGAAGGGCCATAGACACAGAGTCAACAAACCACATATCAGCATGGTTAAGAAGAGTCAACAAACTACTCCATACGCCACATATAAATACAAAGTCAACAAACCACATATCAGCATGGTTAAGAAGAGTCAACAAACCACTCTGTGTCTATGGCCCTTCGAGAAAGAACAAGATTTGTTGGGAGGAATGTGTACATCAAATTGGCTATTAAAAGATTGGGAAAATTTTATTGGCTTTTACTTTAACTTGTCTTTCTTTGTTATCTTTTTCATTGGCTCTGGTAACTTTGAATGTTTGCTTTTATTTATTGTTCCATTTCATTACGCTGATGCAAGTGCCCACAACTTTAAGCAATTGACTTTAATTGGCTTTTTTATTTATGGCTCCATTCATTGTTTTCCTTCTTGTTTGAAAGCTGCTGCATGGACTTCAAGTCTCTGTCCAAATCAACCTTTCTTTCCTCCGTCTTCAATGCAAGCAGAGCCTTCCTCTTCTCTTCAAGCACCTTCTCATACTCTTCTAAAGTCATATCCTATAATAAAGTGAAACAATGACATCGTCTTATGTAAGGATGAGCAGAAAATCCAATCTCATTAGTTAGCATCATACAGATAAAAAATCCATGTGGTCCTTCCAAATCTTATAAATTCTTATGATATAAATCTTTAAAATCCAAACATAAAAAATCCTGAATATAAAAAAATCTTTAAAAAAAGTCCTTCCAAGTCATTATGTTCCTAAATAGTCTTTTAAAATCAACTGGACTTATTTATCCATAAATAGTCTTTTAAAATCTCAATTGAATACACCCCCTAAATAATCATTCACCTGTTATTTTACAATGTAGCTAAGTACCAATCGAGCATTGCAAATCTACGATGTTGTGTATCTAATTTTCTTGGAAAGAATAATAATGACATAAATAATGGTTAGAAGGTATCAATTCATCACCAATAATCCCTACACGAGCAATGACCATCTCTAAAGCGATGAAAGCGATTGTTATCTCTCACAATAATTTCTCTACCTAGAATGCCTGAGATGAATTTGATTGCACCATGGCAATCACCACAAATTCTAAGGTTCTTTGTAATCCTTATAGGCACCCCGGGAGGGATGGCTATGAGGCCAAAAGCAAGGGCAATCTTCTCGCTGTGGTACCAAACTTCTGATACTTTCTCTTCTTCTTCTAAATCAAACAGAGCAAAATTGGTATCGGCAATGTACC